ATCACACTGTGACTTCTGTCCAGTGTCTGTCCCCGGGGGGGCGGCGCTCCACGTGGGTCTGGGTGACTTGACATCCTGGATGCCAGTCAGCGTCCGTGGGACTGTGGGGACACTGAGGCAGTTCCTCCCACCCCAGCTTTCTGACAGCAAAGATGCCTTTAAGAAGACATGGAACCCCAAATTCACTCTCCGCTCACACTACGACGGTGTGCGCTCCCTGGCTTTCCACCACAGCCAGTCTGCTTTGCTCACTGCCTCTGAGGACGGCACGCTCAAGCTCTGGAACCTGCAGAAGGCTGTCACAGCCAAGAAGTGAGGGCGGCAACCCCAGAGGGGTGGGGAGGAGGAGGGGGCATTTGGGTTCAGGGTGATGAGGGCTCCCGGTGACATCCGGCTCCTCTGCCTCACCCCAGGAATGCTGCGCTAGATGTGGAACCTATCCACGCCTTCCGGGCTCACAGGTAGGGAAGTGCCCCCGAGGGGAGTCTGGTCCCTGGCCCACTCACTGCTACACCAGGGGGCCGATGGCCCTCTGCACACGCACACCCTTGCTCCCAGTGCTCCCCAGACCAAGTGCCCCCATAGCTGGTTCTCAGCCCAGCCTTCGGAGGAGGAAACGGGTGTGGGGAGTTGGGGGAAAGCAGGCCTGGGTGGCACAACCAGGGCCCCAGATGCTGAATTCCTTTTGGCCATCCTTGAAAAATCTAGCAGAGGACTTCAAGGTCCTGTGGTGGGGGCCTGGGGAGGGGTGAGATGGAGTTTTTCATCCCCCCTTCACCACCTGTGTGCCCTGCAGGGGCCCCGTGTTGGCAGTAGCCATGGGCAGCAACAGTGAATGCTGTTACAGTGGTGGGGCGGACGCTCGCATCCACAGCTGGAAGATTCCAGACCTCAACATGGACCCCTACGATGGTTATGGTGAGGACAAACACCCCCCCCCCCCCCGCCACGGAGGGGAGCATGGAGCAGTGTGTTCAGCGTGTGACAGGGGTCGGACAGGCTGAGGCAGGAAAGAGGTGGTGTGGGGGGACTGCCTCCCAGAGGAGCTGGTGGGTGAGCTGACTCAGAATCAGCACTGGGGCCAGGGATCAGCCCATGCAGAGGCACGGCGGGCCCTGGCAGTGCCTTATAGGGCTGAGCGCAGGGAGGTGGCGAGCAGAAGTAGAGCAGAGGAGAGGGGAGAAGTTAATCGGGCCAGGTTGTAGGGAGTCTGCACTTGGTCTTTGGCGCACCTTTAATAGTTAAGTGGAGAAGTGATCACACTGTGACTTCTGTCCAGTGTCTGTCCCCTGCCTTATGACACCTCTTTTGATAACTCTTGATGACTTGCACGGTTCTGTGCAGCATTTTGTCATGGTGGAGTTTAGAGGTCTGTCTTCCCTCGAGGAACACACGCTGTTTCCCCAAGAACAGTGCCACCCTGTGAAAGGTCAGGGGTCAGTCCCAGGTAGTATGTGCTCTGGGCCATGCAAGCTGCCCCACACTGGGGGTCAGCAGGGCCTGACCGGAGAGGCCTCTGTGGACTTGAGTGACCAGGGAAGCGGGGCTTGTGCCCCGGGGCGGGAAGGGCTGCAAAGAGCACGGGCTGGACCGGGCCGACCCACAGGGCCCAGGCTGCAAAGGGTCTTGGGGCCACAGGACCATTATTCCTTCTCCCCTTAACTAAGTCCTAAAAATCGTGTACCAAGTGCCTGCTTTGTGCCAGGTACTATTGTGGGTCCTGTGGGGTTGGCAGCGAACAGGGGGGACTCCCTGCCCTCTGAGCTTCCATTCTGGGTTGCCTTCAGAGTCCTGAAACCTTCCCAGAAGCGCCAGCGGTCAGAGTGCGAGCAGCTAGCTGGGGCACATTCCAGTGGTGACGGCTCTGAGGCCCTGAGGAATCTGGGTGAATGGGTGGCCCCAGCCCGGCCGCCTGGCTCCCAGCAGAGTGGGTGCTCTCGAGCTGGCCAGGTTGGGGCTGGCAGCCCTGACGTAGCCCGTTTCCTCCCGTTGGCATGTCCAGACCCGAGTGTGCTGAGCCATGTCCTGGAGGGCCATGGGGACGCTGTATGGGGCCTAGCCTTCAGTCCCGCCTCCCAGCGCCTGGCCTCCTGCTCTGCCGACGGCACCATCCGTATCTGGGATCCCAGCAGCAGCCCAGCCTGCCTCTGTACCTTCCTCACAGCCAGCGGTGAGTGGAGGGACCGGGCCCGGGAGGGACGCCGACGCCTCACAGAGGACTCGGGTAGGGCTGGAGGCCCCGACGGGAACGTAACCCCTGATGAGGGCCCAGGCTTCCTAAGTGTTTTCCCGCAGCCGCCAGGCAGGACCAGGCCTGTTAAGCAGCCTTCTCTCTCCTCTGCCCTCAGATCATGGGATCCCCACCTCAGTGGCCTTCACCAGCACCGAGCCTGCCCACCTCGTGGCGTCCTTCCGCTCTGGCGACACCGTCTTGTATGACCTGGAGGCTGGCAGCGCTCTCCTCTCGCTGGAATCCCGGGGGAGCGGCGGTGAGAGGGGCCCCAGGGCGCGGGCTGGTGGCTGGGTGCCTCCAAGGCCCCAGGCCCTCCTGCGGCTGTGGTGATCCGACATCTGGAGAGCGGAAGATGGCTTCCCTACCCCCTCAGGGGCTCGGGTGGGAAGGAGATAGAGTCCCAGCTGCTGCCCTTGGGGCTAGCACGGCGCTCCCGGGAAGGCCGAGGAAAGAGAGATCCCAGGGACTCGCCTGCTAGGCCTCCTGGCGGAGTGGGCGGCCCCTGTGGGTGGCTGTACCCTGTCCCGGGCCACCCCGGCGGGGCACGGCGCCTGTCTTACAGATGAAGCTCGCCAGGCCCGAGCCAGAGAGAGCCAGGCAGGGGCAGGGCTGTGGGACCGTGGTTCTCCTCTTGCCTTCGTGCCGCTCTCCCTGACTTCCCCCATGTCTTTCCCTCCTCCTTGTCTCCCAGGCCCAACCCAGATCAACCAGGTGGTGAGTCACCCGAACCAGCCCCTCACTATCACCGCCCACGACGACAGAGGCATCCGCTTCCTGGACAGCCGGACAGGTGAGGCCCCGCCCTCCCGGCCCCCACTCGCTCGCGCTCGTGCCGGGGCTGCCCAGACGACAGAGCTCCTGGTGCCCATGTTGCGGGCTCTCGGCGTCCCGTCTGGGCCTTCGCCTCCCCAGGCGAGGCAGCGAGGGAGAGTAACCTGCCACCCACCCTGTCTTCCCTCAGGGAAATCTGTGCACTCCATGGTTGCCCACCTGGACGCGGTCACCTGTCTCGCCGTGGACCCCAACGGCGTGTTCCTGATGTCGGGAAGTAAGTCGGGACTCTCCGGGCTTCTAAGGAGCAAGGGTGTGTGGGCGTGGAAGAGGAGGAGACGTGGGCACTGGTCACGAGGGGGTCCTCCCGGGCTCGCGGGGGGCGGCGAGCAGAGCCCCCTGGGGACGTTTGCCTGCATCCCAGTTCGTCCACATAACCCTCTTGGGTGGGCGTGCTATACTCACCGGGCCGAGGTGGAAACAGGCTCGGAGAAGTGACGTACTTTGTCTCAGCGAAGTGGGCTGGTTGCAGGAGTGAAGTTGGGGTCTGTCTGAGTCTCCGTCCCCACGGGATCTTAGCATTTGGGAGCATGTGTTGTCTGTGGATGAGGGCACTGAAGCCCAGCGCCTGCGCAGCTGTGCCTCCAAAGGATGGGGTGGGACGTGGGCCGACGGAGAGGGGCGGTAGCTGCCCAGAGGTGAGGGCGCTGCACGGCTCCTCAGGGAGGCCACGGGCAAGGGGCCTCCTTCCACTGGCCTCTGCTCCTCGCCGTCAGAGCTTGTGGGAGGTGACGAGCGAGCGAGCACACGGGATGGGGACCCATCGTGGCCTGTTCTCCATCTGCCCCGTGACAGTAGCAGCTGTCTCCAAGGATTGTGGTAGAGGGGGCGGTGAGTGAGATCGAGTCTGGGGCAGAGAGGCTTTGGGACAGGGCCCAGGTCCCCCCTGTGAGGGACAAACAGAGCCGGCCTCCGCCGCAGCCAGCCTGATACTTCTAACGCCTAAGTCAGGCCGTCTCCATAGGTGGCTCGTGCCTCAAGCCCCAGCCCTGTCTGCTCCCCACTCTCTGACCTGCCCCCACCCCATGTCCCTGCTCAGGCTGCTCCAGCCACACCCACCTCCTGCCGGTCCTCAGAACCTTCCCTTGGCCCACCCTGCTGCCTGCCAGACTCTTCCTTCTGATACCCTCTTGGCCGTTCTGTCCTCACGCTGACCAGTGCTCACAGGACTGTTGATCCCTCTGGCATGATTCATTCTGCTTTCTTGTTTACTCTCTACCACACTGGAATGTCAACAGCCCCGGGGCGGGGCGGGGGGGGGTTGGCCTAGTGTGTTCACTGTGCCTCCAGGGCCCAGTACACGCGCTCGGCAGCTCGATGGATGGATGGCAGGCTGGGCCCAGGTGGGTGAACAGGCCGGAGCCCTCACCCAGTGCCAAGGCCAGCTCCTCCAGAGGCTGAGGTTCAGAGGATCCGGGGTGCGTGCTGGGGGACAGCCCTTTCTGCTCCCACACCTGCGCAGGCCACGACTGTTCCCTGCGTCTGTGGAGCCTGGACAACAAAACGTGCGTGCAGGAGATCACAGCCCACCGCAAGAAGCATGAGGAGGCTATCCACGCTGTCGCGTGCCACCCCAGCAAGGCCCTCATTGCCAGCGCTGGCGCCGACGCCCTGGCCAAGGTCTTCGTATGATGCCCACCTGGCCCCGCCCTGGCTGCCGCGCCGGCTGGGGAGCGGGGCCGGGCAGGTGGCACTGAGGTGAGAGGCTGGACAGGAGGGAGGCTTGGTCTGGGAGGGCAGAAACCCCCTGCCTCCTCACCCCGAACGGGACTTCAAACACGTCCTTTTGCTCGGCCCTTCTAGAGGGTGCCATGTCCCAAGGTGGTAGTCGAGGCACCTTGTGAGCATCATCGAGGTAGCAGCCCCTGGGCATCGAGAGAAGGGGCTGAGGTGGCCTGTGCTCTTGGACCTGGGGTGTCATGCTCCGGTCTCCCTTCCCTTCTGTCTACCTCAGGTGACTCCCAGCCTCAGTCTGGAGGCCTGGAGGCCCGGCCTCTTCCCGCCTGCCTGGGAGCCTGGTGGTGCTAACGGCCCTTTCCCCAGGAGGCCGACCCCCACGGCCTGTCCTTCCCCAAGCACCCAGCCTGGGGAGCAGCCTCCTTCAGGAATCACCCTCCGGGATAGCCTCGGGGAGTTTCCTCTCTGTGCCCTGACACCCAGTTCTGGTATCTGAGCTGCCTTCTCGGGTGCAGCACAACCGGGGCTGGGTGTCCTTGGGGATCAGCTTTTCCAAGACGCCAGAAGGTGCCAGGTTCTCTCTTTGAACCCCCGACCCCCCCTTCTCCCATCTTCCCAGACCTGAGTGGGAGCTGTGCTGGGAGGAGCCCCAGGTGCCCCTGCTCTGGGTCCCCTGGGAAGCCATGGAGCCAGCTGGACCCTGGGCTGCCCTCAGGGGGAGTACCCGGCCTGGCCCACCCCACAAGCACGCCCAGTTCCCCCGCCCTCCCCTCCAGTTCCCTCAACACAGCTTTCCAGACACTACCCAGCGTCTCCAGGGCCAGTAACTGCCTGGGGAGCAGGTGATGCCCTCGGGGGAGGCGCCCACCTCTACCTCCCCCACCGCTCCCAGCACTCCTCCAGGGGCAGCCCCCCAGCCCCCATGGGGTTACCCATGGGGAGAGATGGCCTTCTCTTGCCCCTCCCTAGGGCATGGAGGCTGGAGGGGGTCCCCCGGGTCCCCCACAACTCCCTGTATATCTGTATAAATAAATGGGATGTTAATGGAGCCCCGCCCCCCACCCCCCATGTTGTTATCACTGTGTGATAGTCTGTGTCTCCTCTCTTGGCCCTCCACTCTCTTCCTCTATTTATTTCACTCTCTTTTTTGGGTTCCACCCTGAGCCCTCGGGCCCCCTTCCAGGTTCCTGTTTATAAGCCCCCCTGTCCCCTCTGCCCTGGACTTGGATGTGAAACTTGTCTCAATAAACCCTTTGGAGTAAGATGGGTGGTATTGCTGACTGTCGAGGGACCTGAGGGAGCCAGGGACTTTGAGAGATGAGTCTTGGGCTCTGCCTGGGCTGGGTGGAGCTCAGGGAGGGGATATGATGGGTTGGGGTTTTGTGGTAGGGTGGGGGGCGGGAAGAGAGGGGCCCAGAGTTTGGGCAGGGTGTGGGTGGAGGCCCGGAAATCGGGGCACAGGACCGAATCTCCCCGCGCCTCTCCTTTCTGTTCCTAAGTACTCCCTCCCCTAGGGGCCTCAGCAGCAGCCTGAGGGCAGAGCCCTGGCAAGCAGATGATGTGAGGTGACAGATCACTACCTTCTCCTTCTCCGCCCCCCCCCCCCCCCCCTGGGGTTACGTGGAGCCTCAGCCCACATGGAGTGGGGACCGGAGAGCCTGAGACCTGCCCTACAGAATGCCTGCGCCCTGCTGGGAGCTGCTACAAGGGTGCAGGTGATGGAGGCGCCCGGTCCCTCACTGCAGGTGCCCTGAGGAGTCCCATCCCTTCACCAGGTCAGTTACGCGCTTAGCAGGAGCCAGACCCCGTGCTAAGTTCCTCACATGCTGGTTCACTGGAGCCTCACAACAAGCTCAGGAAGTGGGGATCTGTGAGCACAAGTTACAGAAAATGAGGCAGGGAGGCACTGCTCAGGACCCCCAGTGGGTCGTAATTCATAGCCAGTCCCATGGGGCTCCCTCTGCACTTTTTGGGGCCTTAGCATCCTCTGTACAACGGGCCTGATGCTAATGCCCACCCCCTGGGTTGCCAGGGGCTGTGCCCCAGTGCCCAGAATAGGACCTGGCCCCTCCTGGGGCCCCGGGAACACTTGAAAAAGGATGCAGGTGGCCAGATGGCCATCAGGTGACACAGGAGCCTAGCTGCGAGCTCCACGTGGCCTTGCTCCCCCCTCATCCCTCAGGGCTCTGAGCAGCTTCCCCAGGTGGTGGTTTGGGTTTTCACTCCAGCCTCAGACTTCCTTCCTCAGCCCCAGCCAGCCCCCGGATGTGGTGGCAGAGTCACTGTACCGACCTCAGCTGCCCCCAGCAGCCCTTTAGTGGCGGGGGGGGGGCTCCTCTTGAGAGGGGGGCTCCTCTTGAGGCCCCCATCCCCAACCAGCCCTGCTGGTCTGGAACCCAGGTGTGCGGGTGGCTCATCTCTACTGGGATGCCTTTGAAGCTCAAAGCCAGGCCTTGACCCCTCAGTGAAGGGGGCGGGGTGGCAGCAACTCTAGTGGTGATCTTGGACAAGTCATTTTGCCCCTAGGGGGTTCAGTTTCATGAATGTAAACTAAACGGTGGCTACTCTTTATTATTAGCTGGGGAGGAGAAATCCAGTCTGAGTTGCTCCTGAAAGGGCTAGAAGAGCTGTTTTAGCACAAGCCTGGCACACAGTAGGCCGGCATTCAATGCTTGCTGGATGACTGACAGAATGAACGGATTCCTAAACACCTGAGAGCTTCAGGTGCCCACCCCTTTATCTCTGCAAAGTTCAGTGCCGGCCACCACCTACTGAACTTCAGCCCTGTGCCACAATCTCAGTAATCCCCCCAAAGACCCTCTGGGCTCAGTCCGATTACTGTCCCATCTAAGAAACAGGCTCAGGGGAAGCCACCTACCTAAAGTCACACAGAGAGACACGTGCACACTGCCCCCGAAAACGATCAGTTCATCGAGAACGTGGGGTGCGTGTGCTGTCTTCCCTGGTTGCTATGGCCCCTCCAGGCACCCCCAGGTCTGTGGCTCTTCACTCTCCTGAGGGCTGGGGCAGAGTGGGGAGCTGATTGAGGGAAACTACACCCCTTCTCCACCCCCCCCCACCTCTCCGTGCCTGACCGGCCCTGCACAGATAACCCAGCCCCGGCCCCTCCAGTTGCCTCCATGCACCTCGTCAAGGCTGCCAGAGACAGACAGGAGGCAAGGACCTTTGGCCGATCTGGAGGCCTCTGTCTTCCCACCCGTGTAATGGGCTGGGGATCTCTGCAGCACCACCTCCCCTGGGCGGGGGTGGGGGGTGGGGAGGACGACGCTCTTGAGAAGAGGTAGGCCAAGCCCAGAGGTCCCAGAGCGGGCTGGACCTGACACCAGTTTCCCACCCTTTCCCCTGCGGTGGGCGCCGGATGCAGGCCAGGCTAGACTAGACGGCCCCCTTCCTTAAAGGGCCAGGCGCCTTCTCAGCCCCGGCCCCACGACGGTGGCTCGCCCCTCCTCTCCAGCTCAGGGAATAGTTAACTTTCCAGACTTGGGTGTGTTGGGGGAAGGAATCGGTCCGGGATCCCTGCCCTGCATCTCACACCCCAGACACCCGGACCCGGGCGGGGCAGGCGACGCCCCCAACTCCGAGGTGCCGGGCCCGCCCTCCCCTTCCGCCCCGGCCCCCAGCAGGCTCCGCCCCTCTCCGACGTCACCGAGGCCCGCGCGGATTGGCCGACTGCGCCATCGCTCGGGACACTTCCTCCTGGGCCGCAGCCGCAGAGTTAAAACTTTGGAAGGGGAAAAAGAGCCACCGGCGCCGAGCGCCGGGTGACCCTCCCTTCCACCCCCCACACACCGCCGCCGGTAACGCCCCCTTCTCCGCGGCCCCCGACCGAACTTTTCTCCAACTTCTGAGACCCGTGAGATTCCCCCTTAGCACCCCGGCCCTCGGGATCCCTTTGCCCATCCCGGGGCCCGTCGGATCCTTGGGATCCGCTCGATCCCCGACTCAGAGACTCCTGTCCTCCATCCCCAAGGTCTGATGAAGCCCGCGGACCCCCTTCTTGATTGGATCCTCGTCTTAGAGCCACTGTATTCTGGGATTCCCCCCTGCTGCCTTCTCAAGCCTTTCTCTCCCCAAGGGGCTTTGGCTCCGGGGCTCTCCTGATCCCTGAGATTCCGACCTCCTAGATTTTCTTGATTTCTTGGAATCTCTCAAGCGCTGAGTCCCTCAAACCATTAGATTTCTCCTCTATGACTCCCGAGCGTTTGACCCACTAGATTGCCTTTCTTTAATTTCCCAGGGTCCCGCCATCCTCGAGTGCCCTCAACCTGCTAGATTTCTTTTCTCGTATCCCTGGGATTCCCGCGCTCCCACCACCATCTTACCGGCTCCCTCGGATCCAGTGACCCGGGTTCCCCGGGCTCCTTCAGCCGCATCCCGGGTGGGCGCCGGGCGGCCGGGACTCCCCCCGCCATGGCCGCCTCCCCCTCCCATCTCGCCGGGCTCCCAGGCTCTCCCGGGCCGGGGTCTCCTCCGCCCCCCGGCGGCTTGGAGTTGCAGTCGCCGCCACCGCAACTGGCCCAGGTCCCAGTCCCGAGCTCCGGGGTCTCCTTCCACATCCAGATCGGGCTGACCCGCGAGTTTGTGCTGCTGCCCACCGCCTCTGAGCTGGCCCATGTGAAGCAGCTGGCTTGCTCCATCGTGGACCAGAAGGTAAGAGCGCAGGGTTCCTCCCAACCAGCTTGGGGAGAGGTCCGGAGGGGGTGGGGGCGCCGGCAGAGGTGGCCAGGAGCCTGGCATAGGGGAAGGGGAAAAAGGAGGATCAAACCTTGGGCGACTGGGGGGAACGGGGATGGGGCATTTAGCCCCCCAGTTGCCTCCTCATCTCACTACCCATTCGAGGGAGGCCTGGGCAGGGGCGGGGTGCTCCAAAGGCCTCCCCAAAGTGCGTGTCCCTGCGTGTTGTTGTTTTCTGCAGCCAGCAGGGAGGAAGGGAGGGGCCAGCTAGGTGTCGAAGTGGGGAGGAAGGGGCAGATGGTGTGGGGGCCGCAGATGGGGGACCTCTCCATTCAAGCCCATCCCCTTCCATCTCCCATTTGGTGGAAACAGTAGAAACTGAAGCCGCGCTGACCGTGACTATCGGGTGACATGTGTGGGTGTGAGTGCCTGCCCAAGCTGCCAGGGGCAAGTGAGGTCTCCCAAGCCCAGTCTCTGCCTTCCCCCAGGCCTGAGACGTGTGTGGAGGGGCAGGCACTTCTTTGGAACCCGCAGAGGCTCTGGGGACTTTGTCCCTGCTCCTAATCACAGTGTTACCACCCCTCAGGTCTGATGCTGGCCTGTTAAAATGGGCCCTCCCCAACCCCACCCTACTCTTAGTTTTGGACACCAGGGTCACCATGGTGGGAAGCTGGGGATCATGGCAAGAGGAAATCAGGTGGAACTCAATGCCCGAATTCTAGAATGTTAAAAGTTAGGAGAGTGGGTTTCTCTGTTGTTGGAATTCTAGACTGTAAAAATGTTACAATATTAGAATTCTAGGTTGTTCAAATATGCAACTTCTAGGTAATTGAATTCCTGATATTAAAGTGTCCAGGGGCACCTGGCTGGCTCCATCAGTAGAACATGCGACTCTTGATCTCAGGGTCATGAGTTCCAGCCCCACGTTAGGGGTAAAGCTTACTTAAAAAAAAAAAAAAAAGTGTACAAACATTAGAATCCTAGGTTGTTGGAATACTAAAACATGAAAATGGTAAATATTAGATTCCTGGGTTGTTGGAATCGTAGAACGTTAAAATGTTAGAATTTTGGAATGCTGGGTTGTTGAAATCCTTTAATGGTAAGATACTCAAATGAATCCTAGTTTATTAGATTCCTAGAACATGAAAATATCAGACTGCTGCTGATCTAGATTGTTGAAATCCCAAAACATGTCACGATAATATGTTGGAACCTAGGATATATATATATATATCTATCATGATATATATATCATATATCATGTGAGCATGTTGGAATCCCAAAATGTCCAAATTCCAGAATCTTCTCAGACCCCCAGAAATGAATTATTTGGGCTTCAGAGAAACATCGGTCCAACTCCCCCATTTTACAGACAGACAAGGAAACTGAAGCTTAGAGACAGACACCTACCCACCCCCCCACCCCACCCCCCGCAAGCAGTCAAGGCCCAGGCAGTCCCTGTGAGCTGTGGACCCTCTTCCAGCAGACAAGAACAATATGGGGCTTCCTTGGCCCTCCACCAAAACCCCAAACCCACAGGTCCAGTTGTCATACCCAACTCAGCCTGCTCTTTGGGAAGACAGATGGGGATGGGGTAGAGGGCAGACTGTCCCCTGGGTGTAATTTGTCCAGTGCCCAAGTCTTTGGCCTCCTCCCTCAGGCCTCACCCCAGTTTTTTTTTTTTTTTTTTTTTAAGATTTTTATTTATTTATTCATGAAAGACAGAGAGAGAGAGAGAGA